GAACTGTCCTACTCCTAGCTTTTACTGATCATTTTGAATAAAAAACTGACCATTTAATTTGTACCCATATTATTTTTTGTTTTTGAAATAATTCAGGTTCAAACAGTTGCTCAACGTTTGAAATTTCGTACGAATTTATATGAATTACGTGAACAAAGAAAATTAAAACCAAATGTATTATATAATATGTTAACAAATCTTTTATATGAACGACGATTTGGACCTTATTTTATCTTTACACTTGTTATTGGTCTTGATCCTAAGACTGGTGAAACATTCGTTTATGATTCTGATAATATTGGAGCAGTTAGTGATAATGTTAATTTAGCTACAGTTGGAACAGCTAGTGACTATATATTTGGTCTTGGTATGTTTTTTGTTTTTTTGAATAATTTATCAAAGAAATTATTTTTTCTTAGGTGAATTGTTTTTTAAACCAAATATGAATCCGGATGAATTATTTGAAGCAACATCACAATCTTTATTGAATGGTGTTGATCGTGATTCAGCTAGTGGTTGGGGTGCAGTTGTCTATGTAGTCGAAAAAGACAAGGTTACTGTACGAGAATTAAAAGGTCGACAAGATTAAAACAAAAGATCTTAATTAATGTTATTTGTTATTTTCTTTTCGTTCTTCAAAAACCTAGAAAAAAAAAGACAAAGTCTTGATTTATTCATTTTAAAAGCAATTTTCTTACTTTCTCAACTGTTTTTTTTTTCGTCTCATAAACATTAAATAAAGACAAATAGATAGATAAAAAAAAATGTATTGTATTTTCGAATTAAAAAAGCGATGATATATTTATAATACAGAAAAAGTCTTTGTTTAAATAATTTTTAGTTTTGTTGTATAAATGGTGCCGTAATTTTTAATTGCCCATCTTCCAGTAAATCTGTTTTTAATTGCTCAATTTGTGTTCCAGGTGGTACAGTTATTGATTTAAAAAAAGTTGATCGTTCTGTAGATTTATCATTTTTATATTTATATTGAGCTTTGATGATAACATCATTGTTTCTTACGGTGACTTTTATGTCTTCTGGTCGATAATTTTTCATTTCCATTTCAAATTGTAATTCTTTTTGATTATCACCAATATCAACAATACGAGGTTGAAAACCTGGACCACTCAGAAAACCAGCATAATCAAATGAGGGATCAAGAGATTCGCCAAATTGTGCTAAACTTTCATTATCATCGTCTGTTTCTTCAGTACGACGTTCAGGTTCGGGATTTACAATAGGTACTTCAATAGTCAACATATTCTCTGGTGTGACATACGAACGTAACTGTGTAATATCTACATTAATAGAGAAGTTCGTGTTGTTAATGTATATATTCATAGAAATATTTGTAACTTACCAGCACTTTCAGGAAGATCATAAGTTTTTCGAATTTGTCGAATAGTAAAATCACCACTTTCATCACGATCTTCTTCATTACCTTCAACAATAACTTTTCGACCATCAACCTTTGTTTTGATCGATTCAGGATTAAATCCAGCAACATTAAGTTCAACACAAAATTTTTCAGCATCTGTTGCTCGACTTATTGTAGCAAGACTTACGTCATCATCATCATCATTATTATTGTTATGAGGATTCATTCTTTCAAGAACAACTTGATTTTTGTGATCCATGGTTCGATGATTTCGATGTATCTGATTCAGTTTTTTGCGCGACACCAGATAATGTTCGATGGATCACTAAACCAAAAAAATTCACATCCACATCAACTAGCGTACCTACTACTACTAATACTAGTGATGATGATGATGATGATGATGTGAACAACATGACATTTTATTCAATTTAGAAAATTATTTCAAATATAATTGAGTTACAAGTAAATGATGAATGTCTAGCTTTTAGGTACAATTATGTAAACATATATATTGATGAAAACAAGATAGTTAATATCTGTAATATTTCGAGAATTTTCTCGAATACACCCCCGTTTGGTTATTATTTTTCTTATTTACACGGTCACACCTTGTTTTTTCTACACTCCCCTTTGCATGTTTTCTAAAATAAACAACGCTAATAAGTAGACCGTGAACAAGATCAGATAGTACTTCAAAACATGATTTTAATTATGGTTTTTAAGCTTCGCTGAATACGTCATCAGTCAGCTGATAGAATGTTACAAGTCACCGCATGTAATCTATTTACAACTGCTGTAATGTCTAACAATACCAGAGTAGAATACTTCTATACTGTACCGTTATTCATTTTTTATCACACATATTATTGATAAAAATCTAGTTTGTTACATATCGAAAGTTAGTGAGTGTTATTAAATCATTGAATATTTCATTCACATTAAATTAGGTCAGATAGACAACATCTATGGTTCTTTTGTTTGTCTTACGAGAGAACCTCACCAATTGATACACTCCGTTTGGGCTCATATTGGGCATCCAATTAAGTCTCAGTGAGACTAGACAAAACTTAAAAGGGTTTCTCCTCTTAGGCCTTTGGAGCCGAGTAATAGCCTTTTTACTAAATTTTTGATCATTTTTT